TTATTCCCATCCGAAATTCGATAATTAGGTATGAGTATAAATGACCATTTTACCCTTCTAATTATTCTCACTAGCTTAAATACAATTTTCTTCAACGGTCCTGTAAATTAATTATAGATGTCAAAGTTTAACCTTCGTTAAACATTGAGCTCAAATTATAACCGTTCAACATAAAATGCTTAAGTAGTCACTTTACCCATTTTTCAGGATTACAATTCCTGACACGAATTCATGCTCTCTACTCCATTCATTCTCAAGTTCCCAAATCATAAAGATATTTGACCAATCAATTTGATCTCTTCCATTAATAAATCAAAGAACCATTAGGTCATCTCCAGTGCTGCACCATTTTGCACCAAATCTTGTACCAAACTAAATTCATGTCCAACCACTATACCAAAACTTACATCAAATGAACAATGTTTAACTATTTTCTTCCCTTTTTTATTATTAGTAATTTATTTATTTGAAATATTATCTATTTAACTATTTATAAATACATAAATTACTAAAAACATTAAGCCCCCGTTTGGCTCCCATTTAGTGAAAAATGAGTTGTTAAAAAAGAATGAAAAATTTTCAATTTACGTGTAATATTATTTTATGGAAGATAGTGTGGTTGAAAATATGATAGAGAAAAATGAAATGTAATGTAATGAAAATTAATGGGAGCCAAACAGGGCTTAAATTATGGGAAAAATTAAATTCATTAATAAATATAAAAAAACATAATACAATTAATAAAAACGCTACAACAACGAAAATATTAAATCATGCCATCAAAATAATGGGACAATGCATTTCGAATTTGGATATTATGATAATACGAAGTCACAAAATTTTTGCATCTAAATTCTCCGAATTCATATGTTCTTCCCACAAGTCATCGATTAATGCAAATCACTAAACTATGCTCTTTTTATGTATCGTTTTCTTTAAATAAAATTAGATTATTGTATGTATGTCGTCGTTTAATATATTTCATGTTAATTTTCATTAATAATTGTGTTTGTTATATTTTATATTTTTTTCTACTTTTAATTAATCATTAATTATTATTTTTTTACATTTAAAAAATTTATTTTAAATGAAAATGATGATGATGATGATGATGATGATGATGATGATGATGATGATGATGATGATGATGATAATAATAATAATAATAATAATTTATTGTAGTAAAAAATATATAGCACAAATGACACAAATACCCTTAATCAATTTATTTGGAAAACGATGAGAAAGGATAAAAAAGACTTTATACACTTTGCACCATTTTGTACAAAAATGGTGCAAAGTGTAGTGTTGTATTGGAACTCTTTTGCAACAAAAAATGGTACATTTTGGTGTTTTGGGTCTCACATTGGAGATGGCCTTAACCTTGTCGAGGGGTTTAGATGAAATGCACAGCGTTCAGGTGGAATTTCATTCTCCGCATGATTATACTATAGAATTAAATTCGACACGCGATCCGCTCAATACACTCCAAGTGTATTAGTGTCACTTTAATTATTTATGTGATAAGGACAAATCGCAAACCTAAATAATGAATCGATCAACACTACAATTTTCCAATACAAAGTGCCAACTCTTTTACATTAATTGTGAATAAATTATTTATTGTCAAAATATAAATTGTGTCAAACTGTGCTTCTCAACACAAATATCCAACTTATATTATCTCAAGTGATCATAGTTACTTTAATTCGCATGCTTAATAATAAATAATATAATAAATAAATAAAATCACAATTTATTTATTTTAAATAATTATTTTATCGTAGCAAAATATACTATATGGAAATACAACCCAACAAAGATTTCATTTCTTCCATTAAAATTCGCCCATATAAACCACTGAATTGCCTATCCTGATAAATAAACATATTACAAAAATAGTTCAAAAAAAAAGCAAATATCTACAAAACAAAATCAATAAATATCATAAATTAAAGCATAGGCGCATAACTCATTGGCGGACTACAACAAAATAGACTTTGTGGCCGCACGATGTATAAAGCAATGCCGTAAAAAGTGTTCACCTTTTACAGGGTGCAATGCACGCAGTCTATCAACGTCGTTATTAATTTTTACGGCATCCAGCTGCACATCTTAAAAAGTTACGGCATGCGGTTTGTTTATTCTTTTTATTTAATTACTAGCACACCTAAAAATAAATACAAAACTAAATTCCATATATATTACTAGGTTTTCCATAGTTTCGGTAAACACAAATATTGAGTACAGTTTAATACAATATATCAATATAAAATTCATCTCAATACTTCTCAAAAAGTATATACTACATCAAAATAAATAAATAAATAAATAAAATGTTACAAAGTATTACATCCATATTAAAGTCTACTTCTTGGAGTTGAGAATTGCGTGTAGAGCCGAGCGAGGCCATTCCAAGATTTTAATAGCCGCCTATCCAAAATTCTACACCCATGATTGTGGCAACTATACCATATGTGTTTTCTTCCTAATGCATCTTCAAGGAGAAAAAGCTCATGTGTAGGATGATATAACCTTAATAAATGTATCCAATCTTATCAGTGACGGCCCTAAGTATAGGCGAAATAGGCAATCACCTAAGGCCCCAAATTATGTAAATTAATTGATTGGTTGAAGAAAAATGAAAATTATATTTATGAAATTCTGACAATAGAATTATCACATGCAAACATAAGAAACTAATAAAAATTGAAAATATAAAAATCTTTAATATATATATATATATATATATATATATGACAAAAAACTTATCACTTACATTTATTTATCAGAAACATTACTTTCCCTATTTATATTAAGTTGACACTTTATCTTTTAAACATTCATTTTCTTTTTTTAATCAAACAAAAGATCTCTTTGTCTTTTTCAATTTCATATCCAACAATCACCCACCATTATTTTTTCAACCCAACAAGAAATAAATTATCTCCCTTTGAATTAAGATTTTGAAGATTCAATGCAATTTGGTTTGTCTCACTATCATTGTTACAACCTTACAGGTTTCTTTCTTTCTCTCTTATCTTCAAAACATAAACTACAAATTATATAGATTGTTATTGTATTGTTTTGTTTTGATCCCATGATAATAATATTTTTAGATATTTACTGAAAGTAATTTGAATTTAATAATTCTTTATCCTTGTTCATACAGATATTTCTTATTTTAAATTAATTTCTTATAAATTAATATAAAATTAGAAGCTCGTTTGTATTTGATTATTATTTTAATTATTTTGTTACACTATCTTTTGCAGTCACGTTATCCAATTTTGTACATAAATCACTCAAATGTATATTCAATTTTATTTGAAAAAGTTGCAGTGAGAAAATAATCATACAAATGAGCATACCCCTTTGCCATTGCATTGCAATTCTGTTTGCCAAACTTTACTTATAATTTATGTTGTTTGTTGAAATTTGACATTTTATTAATTCTCGCTTCAAATTTTGGGACTTAGTTGTCTGTGTTAAATTCTTTATATTTATATTAAGCCCCTGTTTGGTATCGATTAAAATATTTTAATCTAAATCTAAATCAACAATTAATCTTAACAACATATTTTATGGGTTCCAGAACTTCAAATCTACATATTTTATCTACTTCTATAAAAATCTACCAAAAAATTAATTTTAGGGTTGTTTGAGCCCCATTTTTCTAAAAAAAATGTATTTTAAAATAGTCTTACGATGGAGAATGTATGGTTATAAAATAAGAAAAAAATTTGAATATGCGAATAATATTATTTTATTGAAAAATGTGTTGTTGAAATTGTATCAAATCACTATTGAATAATGTATTTGGATGAAAAAATGAGGCTCAAACAAGGGCTTAATTTTCATCAAACAAACTAAAACTCTATAACTCAAAATATGGGGCCCCAATTTGAAATTGTCATAAAACTCCCAAAATATCAGGGTCAGCCCCGAATCTTATCCATGATAATACACCAACACCATTAAATTATAATCTGTTATATATATATATATATAGAGGACATCATAGAAATCAAGTTCCAATTAGGTAAGTCATTTTGACAATAATGTTTCATACAAACTGAAATTATAAAAAATTAATTCAAACATCAATTGAAATAGGCGGTATTGGAACTGTCACAAACACCTTCAACACTACAGTAATTGAGAAATTAATAGATAACTTGGTTAAGTAACTCGAGAAATGATAAAAGTAACAACAATAACAGTGACAGCAGTCAGATTAGTGGTGTGAGTGGTGTGTAGAATGCCTTATTCTAAACTTGCTGTTCTTATCTCCACATTATTATTGAAATTTTTTATTAACTTCAATTTACTCGAGCGAAGAACTGGATCATGAAATTTCAAATTAGACAGCCACTTAAAAGTATGGGTTAATGTAATATTTCATTAATGAAAAGGGGCTTCCACGATGGATTTTCCCATCACTAAAAAATTTTCTCATAATAGCAAAGCAGTCGGTACATTCACATTAGTAAATAAGCCAACTGATTTTGTCAGCTCATCAACTCATTAAAGCACCTAAGGAAATTTTTCTCTCTCTTGAACCTCTGCTGTTTTCACAAAAACAGAAATAAGTTCATCAAAAGGAGATTAAAAGTTTCTTTTCAATAAGTAGTTGCCTATTAAAAGCTGCAAGAAAACTGGTTGAGAAATGTTTCTTCAATAGGTAGTCCCCTCCACCCCCCATGAAACCATCAATGGTTGAAAATTAATTCAATTTGCAAGTTTAATTTAATAAAATTAAATTTTGGTTTATCCCTGGAATAGAGTGTTAACCGTTCGCTTCATCTATATTTCACGGTTCATAATATAGCAAATCATAACCCCAAATCACAAATTCAAAGATTACAATATTAAATCCGCAAATTCACACACACACACACACACACATATATATATATATACACACT